ATATTGTGTTTATGTAAGATTCTCTCTCTCTCTCTCTCTCTCTCTCTCTCTCTCTCTCTCTCTCTCTCTCTCTCTCTCTCTCTCTCTCTCTCTCTCTCTCTTCCCTCTCCCTCTCCCTCTCCCTCCCTCCCTCCCTCTCTCTCTCTCTCTCTCTCTCTCTCTCTCTCTCTCTCTCTCTCTCTCTCTCTCTCTCTCTCTCTCTCTCTATATATATATATATATATATATATATATATATCTATAGATATAGATAGATATCTTTCTTTCATATATCATTTACTCATAAGATTATAGTTACAAAACCTACCACTAAACCTTTATTAACACCCAAAAGAACCTTATTGTTAATCCATTTAAGTTTCCCACATCCTTTCCTTATGAGCTTTATTACATGTAACTCTCAAATATAAATAATTAATCACATCCTCACCTTCCCCACTTTGAATACAATTATTACACTTATAAATACAAATTTCATTATTGTTTCATTCTTTGTTTGTTTATTTTTTTCCCCTACAGTGTGGAGAGTGCTATGGAGTGTACCATGGCCTTTGCGCCAGAGGAAGGAAGGACTGTCCTCGCTGCATCAGAAGAAGAGCGAGAAGGAGCCAAGAGGGGAGTTAGAAGACCCCGGCCTTAGCTGCAGATGGCATAAGCTCTGCCGTTCCCTCTTCATCTTCTTCTTCGCCGTGGAAATGGGACGGAGTCTTTTCGTCTCGTTTCTTTCTGTCGTCGGAACTGTGGGAGAGCCAGGATTTGAATTTATATTTATAGACTTGCCCCCAAAGGAAATTTATAGAGATTTTATGGTGCATGAGAAGTAAACTTTTGTAAATCATTGTAAACCTTGGTTATTTATAAAGCATTTGATTTCAAAGCTTCACACAGGCATGGGACAAAATGGATATTTATTTTGTAAATTTATCTCTATTGTGTATAAAGATTTAGTGGTAATTTAGATACCTCTATAGTTTAAAGGAAGAAGTCACAAGATAAGGAAAAAGTCAGTATTTATTTATTTTTAAACATCAAAGAAGGCATTACAGTTGAATTCTTATGCATAAGAATCAGGTTAAGTAAAGTTTGAAGTCAGTCACATTTTCATTTCTTATTTTTCATAGGTCTTGATGTCGATGCATAAAGCCGGTAACACAATCGCAGTCATTACTCTATCTTTCATATTCCTATGTTCTATGCTGCTGCATTTCCAAAGGAATGGTAATTGATAATAAAACATTGTGCCTTTTTAAGTAATTCCATTAATTGTTCGAGTAAAATTTAATGTGCAAGTATAGATTAAGATGAAGTTCTATATGCTATTTTGTTCTGATTTTGAATATTCAATGAATTATGCTTATTGCAAATGATAGCTCACATATGCATTATTGTTTGTTATGAAAAACAAGAGCCCATTTCTGTGTTCAAACCATATAAAGACTTGAACATTTTGTTAGAATTAATTATTAGATTTTTTTTTTCATGTATTTTTCCTATATAATATATTACCTAATTTTTGGTATTTAATTCATATTGCTTATGACTGGAGGGATACCTGGATACCTGATATCATTGGTTTAAGACAGTCATTTGCACACTAATATATTTATCATGATTTGGTAAAATACTTGTGATATTACACCATTATTAAGATTAGACAAATAAGTAATATATGGATAATCATAATTTCATCATATTCATAACAGTGGTATGCAGTCTTACACCAAATTCTTTATTAAGATGATTTTGTAAAAAAAAACGTTAATTTCTTTATTGCTGTATGTGGATGAACTGTAGGTAGTTTATGAAAAAGAAAATATACAAGAAAATATAAATATAAACTGCAACTGAGTCTTATTACCTATAGGGGTACGGAAGATCTTTGTAAAGCCACTTTTATTGGAGGTTTCAGCTAAAAAAAAAAAGGGTACTGCTATCAGGAAGTAGTGCGTAAGTGATTCTTTTGCACTTTTTGTTGAATCAACTTTTAAAAAATGGTCTAATGGAACATTCAACAATATAACAGGAGTTTTACCCAATGTGTACGTACTTTTAAGAACTTGGACAATCCACCCCCACACTCCTGTCTCCTTTTCCTTCTTCCTTTCCCTTCCTTATTTCCCCTTCCTTATTTCCCCTTCCTTCTTCCTTCACCCTTCTTTCCTTCACCTGCCCCCACCTCCCTTGTTCCATATGATTTGAGAGACTAGTTCATACTGTTCTCTTGCATGGTTAATGGCAATTAGCGATAATCTAAATTTTTGTTTAATATGTTTTTTGATATTGTTTTGTTTTTTTATATTTTTTTTCTTCTCGTTTTGGATAAATATATGTTGGGTAGTTCGAGCATTATTGAAAACTAACAATGTTGAAGAAGTTTGTCCTAGTAATAATGACAAAAAAAGGACAAATTAAGAAAAAAAAAGTCAAAACTACAATAACAGCAACTATGAAAGAAAGATGATAATCAGGATTTTGAAAATTGTGAAATATGTCGCTTAATAAAAGTGCCACAAAAATCTCAATATTACTAATATATATATATCCTTCAGTTTTTGTTTCCACTGCTATACCATTTGCTTTAAAAGATTGAACAGGCTTTTTGTCTTATGTACAAATATTATACCCTTTGTTTTTTCAATGAATCAGCTGGTCTTTTTATCTTTTATGCACATCATTCCTTATGTTTTAGACCAATGATTCCAAGCTGGTGGCCGTGGAGACTAGTAATCATTCTTATGTTTATTATTATTATTTTGATGCCTTGGTTGAAAAGAAAAAAAGTGTGCATAGGCATTTATCTCTGCTCATAAGCAAAATATACTGTGGGACCAAGAAATAGTATATTACGACTAGGTATATAAACCGTGAAGAGACCGCTACATTGTTTTCTTTCATAACATAGAATTAAGGTTGTACCAGATGTTAGAGAAAGGGGTTGTAAGCAAGCAAGGTAGGGAATCACTATTTTAATGACATTTAAAAAAAAAATCTTTCACTTAGTTCTCAACTTCTCTTTTTTCTTAAGTATTGAATGAATATGCCATGCCTGTTATCGAATAATTTCTTTCCTCTTTGTAAAACATAATTGTGTTTTTGTTCTTCAATACTATCAAAAATATCATCTTCATTATTAAGAATAGTAATAGTATTTTCTTTATTTCATTAGTAGTAGTAGTAGTAGTAGTAGTTGCAGTTGTCTTTATTATTATTATTATTATTATTATTATTAGTAGTAGTAGTAGTAGTAGTAGTAGTAGTAGTAGTAGTAGTAGTAGTAGTAGTAGTAGTAGTAGTAGTACTGTTGCTGTTGTTACTATTATTACTTTATAATTATTATCATTATCATTATTATTACTATTGTTATTTAGTGTAACTGTGATCATTATTACTATTTTTATTATCATCACATAATTCTACTTGTGTTTCATCCGTCTGACAACAGCGCACTCATTGTAATATTGTCGTTTCTACTTTCCTTTTCTTTATCTTCGCCAGCCTTCACCTGTCCAGTCCCTAAGGTGTGAGAGCCACTTTGTATGGATGGAAGGATGACTTTGTGCTAGTCCCAAACGACCTCAGGGAACCATGGGCACGGTATTCCCTAGATTAATTGTCTAGCCGTCAGGGGTGCACCTTTTATCTTCCACAGGCTTACCATGGCCGGTAATGAAGATTTTGTACCTTTATTAGAAACACTGAGGCTTGCTCCCTTGTACAAGTAGCCTCCCTAAATCTAACCCTTCTGGTTTACCGAGCCATGACTCTCCTTTGCTCATGGCTCCGACCACTGCTACTATGCCCCCTCGTCGACACGTGCAGCCAACTTAACCCATCCCTGAATCATCTACCCGGGTTATAACTCAGCCTCCATCTTTTCTTCAAACCCAATATCGTCAATTCCGTCTCCTGCTCAATCGTCTCCATTTCCTACATCCTCCTCCCTTATTACAACTCCTCAACTTTTACTGTCCTCCCCCCCCCCTCAGAAAATTACCTTACTTCACACCACTGCCTCTTCCTCCCGTCCTCGCCCCTCCACCAACCTATTGAGTACTCTGTTCAGTCCAGCCAAGTGGAAACGTTTTTGTGATCCTCCCTACAACCCCTTACTCTGACTGGTTTAATTAGTAGGATAAACAGATCACATCAAAACCTACCCCGTCAATGTCAGAAATGGCATTTCGACCACCCTGCAAAACCCTATGACGGGACTAACTTGGTCATTCTGTTCAAACTGCTCTGTACAATCAAGTATATGTGCCGATTGCGATGGCTCCCATTATATATTTCATAGGGGCTGTCCTGCCTACGTTTGAGTTTGAAGTAGCAGTTCTCTGATATAAACTTGGTCCCAGTCTACATGAAGTCAGACCGGAGGCACGCCGATGAGGTTTTTCACACTTACTACTCCAATACCAGCTCTTTTTTTGTACTTATTGACCGTGGCGAGAGCTGGGGGCAGTTCGCTTCGCCTCACGGCCGTTTGTAATTGACCAAAATGACCGCCACTTTGGAGCCTCTAAAGTACATCTGTCTGAACTTTGTTTGTCATTAATGCGTGTGTCATATAAAAATCGTGTACACTCGCTAAAGAATATAGAACGATAGCTAGGAGTTGATTCGGAAAGGTTGGTACTCGGAACAGATGATGCTTCACAATGTGTTCGGATAGTGTTTCGGAGTTGATATGGCAAGGGCCTCGCATCATGCCAATTTTTAGCAATGAAGACCTCATAGACCATTTGTAGTATCATAATTATGCCTTACTTTGAGGGACTATCAAGAGCCTAAGTATCATGAAGATTAGGTATTTCGAAGCCAGCCGTGTCTCTGTGGATCCAACGACACCAAGTAACTGGATCTATCAGAGACGAGGCCAGAAGTGGGCGCCCAAGATGCACGACGGAAATAGATCAAGTAAATGTCATTCTAAAACTATAAATCAATGTGCTATATGAAAGACAAATAGGAAGCTGCCATTGAAGTGCATGAATATCATGAGCGAATGAAAACCATGTGATACTCAGTGGCAACACACCTTGCAGTTGACTGGATTTGAGAAAGGGGCGTGGCTAGTAGTTACCACTTCCCCTTGCCGTTAGTCGTTTTCTTCTTAGTTATTTACTTTTATCATTTTTTAAACAATCCATAACTACTGTAAGGGCTGCGGACCCCTTTTGTTCTGCTGCAACATCTGACTGGACTTCACATTATGCTGCAGCATGAAGGCTGCTTGAGTTGAGTCAGGGAGCTGACGGATGTCGGGTGCGGCAGATTTACGAATCCTGGATGAAATATTTCTACCATCGGTGAGGGAGATGGTGTTCCCCAGCCAGAATTATTTTACCTTGTCCAGGATAACAGTCCCATTTACACAAGCAGTGCTGCAAAGGCGTGATTTCGGCAACACCCCATTGGGAATATTTGCGTAACAATGGGCATAGACTTCCCAGAAGACCATATCTGCAGCCGTCACATCATCGTTGCCTAAGCAATTATGTCATGGGAGTGAGTACACAGCCATTCCCCAAACGTCCCGACCTTGTACTTCAAAATGTGTTCCATGGTGTAACGCAGATGGTATTAAAGCCCTTCCATTGAAGTGTGCAGCCTGGAACAGCCTCCATCACAACTTCAGTCAGTTAACAGCCCCTCATATAATTTAAAAAGCCATCAGCTCATCTTCACTGTATAATATGAAACTCCATAGCTGGCAAAACCATGTTTCATCCATAAAATCATCCATACCTGTCTCTGCAGTCTGGTGGTGGGTCCATAAACTACCAGGTAAGTATCTTCTTCATCCTGCCCCTGTCCTCCATATCCATAATAGCCTCATCTCTGATCCTCTTCAAGTAGTTACTGAGCTTGCCTATTTTAGCCAGGTCAGTTGCGGATCTCACTTTTCTCCTCACTTCTCTTCCTTAAAATCAGACAAAGAGCACACACCCATCTTCTCCTTGTCCTTTACGGAATCTATTATGCATTACAGTCATGCCACAAGACCCAGATACATTACCTTATGTTACGACACCTTCTATCTACTTTCTTGTCCTTCCTTCCTTCAATAATTATTTTACCATTTTCATTACTGGACATTTTTTAAAAGAACATGCACTACAAACAAACAAAACAAAACAAAACAAAACAAAAAAACACTTACCCTAAAATATCGCACAAATTGACCTAATCAAAAAGGAGGCAGAATCGGTGACATCACATTAAGCCAATAGGAATGCGACATGAGATAACACATTTTATTTTATTTTATAATTCATTTCATATTGTTATAATTACCAGAAGTAAAGCCAGAATTCTTTTCTTTTATTTATGATAATGAAGAGTTCCTTACTATTAACAGCCGTCAGAATGCTCTTGGGGGAAAAGTCAATTCCAGTTTGGGGTTCAACAAGCTAAATGGAGGTGGAGCTACCTGGTTATGTATGCCTGGGTTTTAGTTATTGTTTTCATTTTCATTATTGTTTCATTGTTAGTAATATTAGTAACAATAGTAGTAGTACTAATAGTGATGGTAGTAGTAGTTATAGTAATGGTTGTAGTTTGTAGCAATGATAGTAGTAATGGTAGTGTCAGTAGGAGTAGTAGTACTAGCAGTAACATTAGTAGTAGCGATAGTAGTATTAGTAATGATGGTAGTAGTAGCAGAAGTAGTAGTACTAATACTACTTGTAGTAGTAGTCGTCGCAGTAGTATTGATGGTAGTAGTAGCAGTAATACTCGTAGTATTTACACTAGTGATATTAGTTATTGTGATATCAGTAGTAGTTGCTGTAGCAGTAGTAGTAATAGTGAAAGAAGTAGTTATAGTGAAAGAAGTAGTAGTAGTAGTAGTTGTAGTTGTGATCCTACACTAGAAAAAAGGCAGTAGTAGTGTAGTTATAGCAGTAGTGGTAGTGATAGTAGTATTAGTAGTGATGGTAGTATTAGCTGTAGAAGTAATAGTAGTAGTTGTAGCTTAGTAGAAGTAATAGAAGTAGTGGTCGTAATATTAGTACTAATTGTAGCAGTAGTAGTAGTAGTTGTAATAGTAGTAGAAGTTTTAGTAAGAGAGGTGATAGCATTAATACTTGAAGTAGAAGCAGAAATAGTAGTAATGCTAGTAGCGGTAATATTGAAAGTAGTATTGGTATCAGTAGTAGTAATTATAGTAGTAGTAGTAGTAGTAGTAGTAATAGTGATAGTAGTAGTAATAGTGATGATAGTGGTAGTAATAGTAGTGATGTAGTAATTGTAGTACTAGTAATAACAATAGTAATAGTAGTAGAAGTAGCGATAGTAGTAGTTGTGTGATAATAGTTATGGTAGCAGTGGTAATGATGGTAATGATAATAGTTGTGATAGGAGTATCAGTAGTATTTGTGATAGTTTTAGAAGTACTAGTAATGGTAGTAGTAGCAGTAGTGACAGTAGTAATTACAGTAGTAGTAGCGATAGTAATATTAGTAGTGATAGTAGTAGTAGTGGTAATAGTAGTAGCTGTTGTAGTAATAATAGTAGTTGTAGCAATAGTAGCAGTAATAGTTGTAATAGTAATAATAATAGTAGTGGTAATATTAGTACAAGTAGTAGACATAGTAGAAGTTTTAGTAGTAGCATTAGTGATAGTACTAGTACTAGTCGAAGTAGTTGAAATAGTGGGAGTTGTAGTAGCAGTAGTAGTAGTGATAATAGTAGCAGTAGTAGTAGTGATGCAGTTGAAATATCAGTAGTAGTAGTAGTAGTAGTAGTAGAAGCAGCGATATTAGTAGTTACAGTAGTAGTAGTAGTAGTGATGGTAGTAATATTAACAAAAATCATTCAGAGGGAAGGCAACTCGTTGACATATAAAAATGCCACTTGATGGAGACAAAATTAATTAAGGACAAAGTGACAGACACTTGACTTTGCTTTTTTTTTTTTTTTTTTTTTTTTTTATCAAGACTCAAAATATTCTAAACCTATTTCTAAGCGACTGAATTAGTTCCATCCTACCAAAACAATCGCTTATCCGAAATGGGACTATTTGTACAAATATATATATATGCAATCCTTTGATAAAAACGTACCTTAATTTTTTTAAAGATACTTGTTTATGAGACATGTTTATGGGACACTCTTGTAGTTAGTGATTATTATTATATAATTATTGTTTTTATTTTTGAACATTGATGCGTCTAGTAGTCTAATTCCAATTGATATTACTATATAATCAAACTCAGTATAACCAATCCACCGCATTCATTTAAAGAAATAAAATAAAACGCAGGGGACTTGAAACATAGTGTGTTTTATTTTTACACGAACCAATTTACATAATCATTTATACATTACAGGCAGCATTTGTCATATGTTTCTTTTGTCTGAGTACACTTTTAATGGAAGAAGCAGGGAGGCAATGGATTCAGAAAACAGAAATCTCATCCAATTTGGAAAAATTTCTCGCGTGAAGGACGGCCTGGTTGCTAGGTCGCTCTGTACAATGTCTTTTTAAATGTTAAAAAGCCCTTAACATGGAAAAAGCTGTTCAGTTGCAGGGGCACAAAATTTCACCTGTTTTTTTTTTTTTTTTTTTTTTGATTGATTGTTTTTGTTTTTTTTTGGTGTGGAGATGAATTCAGCATTCTGTATATGTTTTTTGTTTTTATCTATATTTCTTTATAGCTTTCCATGTACGGCTGTTCAACCGAATATCGTCTTTTTCTCTCTTTTTTAAAGAACTTTGATGAAACCGTCAATTTTTATGAATAGGATGAGATCAGTTCAAATAACCATTATGTACACCCTGCGGTTGTTACTTAATATCTACGAAAATATCTCACATATATTTCAATAAATGATTCAACAAAAATATGTCAATATTTTAGGCATTACAGAAAAACTGGCACATTACATGAACTTTTAGGCCAGGGCACAGTATCGCTTAAATCATCCCAGGCTTATATATATATATTATTTCATATGCACATACACGTTTGCCTGGTATTTAAAGCATACTGGCTCTTAGTCTATTCAGCTAATAGTACACATATAAAACAGATCCATCTAGCAATATTATACTAGTGACGTCACACCGAATCCGTTCGCGGGAGTGACGTCATATCATGGCGTCTTGTGGTACTTATAGTCTTTTTTTTCTTCTCTCTCTCTTGTTTTTTTTTGGTGTGGAGATGAATTCAGCATTCTGTATATGTTTTTTGTTTTTATCTATATTTCTTTATAGCTTTCCATGTACGGCTGTTCAACCGAATATCGTCTTTTTCTCTCTTTTTTAAAGAACTTTGATGAAACCGTCAATTTTTATGAATAGGATGAGATCAGTTCAAATAACCATTATGTACACCCTGCGGTTGTTACTTAATATCTACGAAAATATCTCACATATATTTCAATAAATGATTCAACAAAAATATGTCAATATTTTAGGCATTACAGAAAAACTGGCACATTACATGAACTTTTAGGCCAGGGCACAGTATCGCTTAAATCATCCCAGGCTTATATATATATATTATTTCATATGCACATACACGTTTGCCTGGTATTTAAAGCATACTGGCTCTTAGTCTATTCAGCTAATAGTACACATATAAAACAGATCCATCTAGCAATATTATACTAGTGACGTCACACCGAATCCGTTCGCGGGAGTGACGTCATATCATGGCGTCTTGTGGTACTTATAGTCTTTTTTTCTTCTCTCTCTTTCTCTTTTTTTCTCTCTTTCTTTCTTTCTCAATTAGGAATCATTAAGAAAGCATCCTGCATACCAATGGACCCTGTCTCAGCCTGGGAAGGTTTATCAACTGCCTATTCCGTATAAGACTTTGGTTTAGTTTTGAAAATCAAGAAGAGATCTAACGGTTTTAACGTATGCCAATTTTGTAACGATATTTTTTTTTTTCAATTTTTTGAACTCATGAACTGTAAATGAACAGAATGATTTTTCGATGTGACATTAGTCTCAGGTTAATGTGTCAGTTGAGATATATATGAATAAATA